CTGTTTCACATATTATAAGTTTTCTCAGGGTTGTCACCTGTGGCGTGCGTTGTGTTTTCACAGGTCTACCGTCCTTTCACTCACAGACAGATGTAAAAGAATTACTTGAAACCCTGGGCCAGAATGTAGTCACGAAGAAGAGGAAGAATGTGGAGATACTGTGGATTGCTGGAACGGTGAGCAGTGGTGGTTTTTTTATATATATTTATATACATAAATATATATTTATGTATATAAATATATATTTATGTATATAAATATATATTTATATACATAATATATATTTATATACATAATATATATTTATATACATAATATATATTTATATACATAAATATATATTTATATACATAATATATATTTATATACATAAATATATATTTATATATATATATATTTAGTGGTGACCAGTAAGAAGTTGTTAGGAAGTGTATTGCTTGATGTGACATGTCATGTCATGAAATTCCAAGGCATATACTGTCTAAGAATCACAGTCATCCAGGTCATGGTTAGGTTGACCTGGATGACTGTTCTGTTAGGCCACTGGACGTGAATTTTGAAACGTCTTCTTTTAGAAAACTCGAACTCTTCCATCTCAAGGCATATACTGTAACTCTCTCCCACAGATCTGCCGGAGGTTAAATGGCATCAGGTTCACCAGCTGTAAAAGTGCCAAAGACCGAACATCCATGTCTGTCACGTTGGAGCAATGCGCTCTCCTACGTGATGAACACCATCTCAGCAAAGATTTCTTCGTCCGAGCCCTCGACTGTATGCGGAGGTAAGAAGAAAAAAAAAACTTAGGTTGTTACAAACAGTGTGGGTGCAGGTTATTATTCTGAACACTTTAACTTATATGAACCTTTTTGTTGAGGACTGTCCCACTGCCACCTTTTTAAACTGTTATGAGCCCTCTCATTATAACAAGATGTGTATGTCATTAAAACCTGCTCTGTTTCTCCTTGTACCAAAATGAGGGGGTCTCTGGTGTCCCACAGTTTTTAATCATCTTCTTTAATCAGTCGTCGTCTCTACGTCCCAGGTAGAAATCCCAAGATAAAACTACTAGATAATAAAGTTAAAATCATCCAATACAATGGTTCCCGAACATTTTCTGCAGCGCCCCCTGCGATGCTGCGGCCAATCAGATTTTATTTTTTTTCCACTGGATAGAATTTCCTGTCCATAACTCACTAACTATCTTCAGTAATAACTCCAGGCAAATATTTGTTGCATTCATCCCTTCTTAAATGGAAAACATTTCACAGAGAACAAAAACAAAAGAACCAGTCCAAAGAACTGTCAGTAGATAATGACGGGAATAAATTCATGACACAATAGATACTCATGACTCATGTCTAGTTAGAGTCAATAAAAACCAACTAGAAACTGGACTCGCTTTAGTTTCTTGGTGTTTCTTCTTAAACTAAATTACTGTATTTTCCGGACTATAAGTCGCACTTTTTTTTTTATCCTTTGGCCAGGTTGGCAACTTTTAAAATGTATCATTTCACATGTTTGTTATTTTCACATTGACAGCCACGAAAGGGAGCTAACCATAACCCTAACCCTATTCCTGTAGGTCGCACTTTTTGTCATCCTTTGGCTGGTGCGACTTATACGGTAAATGCGGTACCTTAATGACATTAAAACCTATTGTTAGTTTATAGACAGCTGCTTCTGTAATTCACTCAGTCGGACTTGGTTTGTTTTTTTTATGACATTATTATTTATCACAGTATATTTGTTTATTCATCATCATATCATTAGTTGTTAGCAACTTTAAGTGTTATGAACAATGAAAAGAAAAAAAAAGTTCTGTTTAAAACATGACTGTGTGAACTCATCCCTAACATGAATCGACAGCATGCTGTCTCCACTGACTTGTGTGTGCCAGTATAAACATCGTTCTACCATAGCAACCTACAGTTCAAACCTAAAACAAAGCCTGTCTTTAATCGTGGGCATTTCAGGAATCTGTGGGAACAAGTTAAGACCTTTTCATGAAGCAGTCTTTATAGTTTTTACATCCAAGAGCTCTGAGTGGCTCTCAGAGTCGTCTGTTTGTTCTTCATTATAAACCACGTTATGGTTTAAAAAACACACACATAAAATAAAAAAATAAAAAATTCAAACACTACATATATTTTCCCATAAAATAAAAATAAAAAAATTCAAACACTACACATATTTTTCATGTAAAATCATCAAACATTGTATTTAAAGTTAAAAAAAAGTTTGTTTTCAAATTACTACTCTTATTTACGGTTAGGCTAAGCTAAGCTAGCAATGCTTACGTCTCTTTTTTTGGGGGGGGGCTTTAACAGTTGCTCTGCATTGTATTGAGGGTGAAGAAACACAGTTTTCTTTTTGGTCAGGCACCAAAAATAAATGGAACGACAAATAACTAACCACAATCACAGTCCACCACTTTGAACCAGTTTAAACCTGTTCAACCAGGACTCACCAAACCACGCCATTTCATCACTTCTTTTCTATTCTTCTGAGCCGCCCTCCTACTCTTTCCATCAGCGCCCGCTCATCTTCCATGTAGCCTCTTGAGAGTCTGTGCTAATAGCTCTGCGTCTAAGTGGACTTTCTAGCAGTGGCACTAAATGGCTGCGAGCTGATGTTGCTGCGGTGGAAGTCCCACTTAGACCCGCCCAGCCTGTGTACTAACACCACTGTGTTCTGATCTGTCTCTGCTGGTTCTGTTTCACCCCGACGGCTCCCCCTGCAGTCGGTCGATCCAGGGCGACACTGGGCAGTATGAGGACCCTGAGGCCGGTGCCGTGACAGAGAACAAACCAGCATCGCGACACTTTTACCCCATTGCTCTGCTGCTCGTTAGCTCACACTTGCTGGTTGTGTGGCTCATTTTAAGTCTTGTTTTTCTGCTTGCAAAATATCAATAAATTGCCGACTGTATCATCTTTCCTTACTCTTTTTGTCCTTTTGTTCTGGCTGGTTACTCCTTCTCAGGTGGTGCTGTGGTGGTTAGTTGGTTAGTTATCTAGTTAGTTTGTTTTTACAGTCAGTAGACCTTTAATAAGAAACGGTTGTAACAGTTTGGTTGTTGTGGTGATTTGGGCAAAATGTTGAAATTTGAGTTGTTTTTTTTTTACTGTCTCTTATTTGATAACGTTTACAGTGTGTGTACACATCTGTGTGATGTCAAACTTACAAATACTTCATTAATTATTATGATTTAAAAGATAACAGACACAAAGAAAATTCATTTATAGAAAAAAAATATTGCCCTTTATAAGAACTGCATTTTCATCTTTAGCACAAAGTTAACACTGTATACATACTGTAGTACCACCCCAGCCCAGTACATGAGCCTGTGTTTTCTTCAGTACATGTCCCTGTATGACGCTGTGCTTCAATCGTATTTAGCTACATTAGCTCTCCATTCCATTTTCACACCCTGATATTTTTGAACCCAAATATAACAGATATAACAATGTGATCATTCATGAAGTCTTTTTGGTTGAGGACAAAGTTATGTTGTGTCTTGTCTCTTCATGTCTGCTGTGCATCGTTCAAACATCACTCTTTATTTTTGACCCTTTTTTCCCCCCCTCACCCCTTTCTCACCCCCCATCCCCCATCCTCCCCTTCCATCTTTGTTTGGCCGTCAGAGAGGGATGTCGTATTGAGAATGTTCAAAAGAACATTAGATGCAGGAAGTATGCCTTCAACATGTTGCAGCTGATGGCCTTCCCCAAGTGCTACCGACCACCAGAGGGAACCTACGGCAAAGTGGACTCATGAGTGGACCGCGAGATCACTGAACCCACACCCTTCTGTGCATGTCTAAATATTTATATTCTTAGATATTTTCGAGGCAAATTAACCAACTGTCCAATCAGTGGAAGGAAAGTTTTCTCTGAACAAACCTTCAGTATGTCTGTTTCTAGAACATTTTAAGGTCAAAGTAAAAGGCCTAACCAGGCGCTGAGCCTGTCTACAAGTCCTCTGTAAATACTTTGTGTACATTCAAGTGCAAACATTTGAGTATCACTGTTAATTGCAGATGAGTTTTTTATTATTATTATTTTTATTATTATTATTATCCCCCCCAGTCTGTTCATGGTCACATGTTTTATCTCCAGGTACAGCTCGGTGTAAGGATGTGAGGTAAGAAGAGAAGTTAGAGAATAATAATAGACCACCATGTCTGTATGGTATAAAAACAAATTCCATTATTTATTTTTGTGAAATAAAATGCGTTTATATTCTGACGGTTTGATCCAGTGGACTGTTACGCATGTGCAAAATTTACTGGACATTAAAAATGACAATTTATAAAACGGATGGTCGCTTGAATTCTAGTCGTTGTGACACTACATGTTACATGACGTAGACAAACACGTGAAAGTAGTTGTTGATTAAGTTCGATAAAATGACAAACATTTTGTTTATATTGAACAAACAAACAAACAAACAAACATTCAGCTGCAGGAGTGTATGTGCTTTTCCTGGAACAAAACAACTGTTTGTCTCTGACGGTTTCCCTTCTATTCTTTTTTGCAGACACAAATTTGTTTTGTTTTTTTTCCTCAACATCCACTGATTTGATTAAATCACCTGTAGATCACAAAACAAATCCTTAAAATGGACTTCCTGGATTAGCTCATAAATACTGATGCTATACTTTCATTAGAACATACATCCATATTTATACAAAACAAATCTTTATAAGACAAAGCTGTGCAGCTCGGATTATGGCATTGTTTTTAAACTTCATCCGCAGCGCCCTCTTTGGCAGCACATTCAAAGTTATTGCATCAAAACTTTACTTAACTTTAAAATATATATATTGTAAAAAAAATATATATATATATATATATATATATATAAGCTGCTATTTTCATTGAACAAAGGAAGCAACATTTCCACACTGCAGTACACAATTAGTTTTAAGTAATTCCCAGCGTCCCCAAAAAACCTGCACCCCCAAGTGTGCCCCACTCCAGACTTTGAGAACCACTAGATTACAATGAAGTAAGCTGAAATAGAATTAGTAGCACAAACAGTGATTCACAGTGTTGACAATATCCTGAGGTGAAGTTCTGTCAACCTTTATATTCACAACAAACTGTAGAAAAAAAAATTGAATTAGGGATGTCCGATAATATCGGCCGACCAATTATATCAGCCTATCCAAAAACGCCTTTTTCCTCCTCTCACACGTTCCGCACTCTCTTCCTCACACACACACGTGCTCGCACCACACCTCCTCACCCCGCCCCCCCCTCCCATACCTGTAACTGTAAACTCCTTCATAACAAGTGAACCGAACATTTTCAACGCTAAACAAGGCTCTAGTCACTAGATGGCAGCATTGCAGCTGATTTTATTAACCCATATTGATAATCAGGGGATTGTATGGAAGAATACTGATGACAGCAGCACATACAGTGGTTTGTACAGATAAATAAATAAATATTACCAGATGCTCAATAATATTTAAATTTTGGGGAGGAGGAGTGAGGGAGGCGGCTCTAACCCATCACTTTAGTGAGCAGGCGGCACTTAACTTCCTTAACCACCAGGCCACCACTTTGCTGATATCTGATACCACATTAGATATCTGCAAAAAGTTAATATCGGACATCCCTATATATACTTGCTTTATAACTACTTCAGGACGGCATATTTACAACATGATTTTAAAAAAAGAATACATATGTACAAATATATATAAAATACAAATTTACATCTCACGTTACACATTCCCCTTGGGATCGGAAGCCATTCTTTGTAAAAAGTCTTTTAGTCTGTCCAAGAATATTGTAATATTTTGAAGTGAGTATGCTTCACAACGTAGGCAGCCAATCTGGAAGAAAACATACAGTTAATTTTTTTTTTATTTAAAATGTCTAAAAAAAATGTAGTATTATTCAGAGTAGTTTTGAGGGAAAAAAAGAAATTTTAATACCGCTGTTTGTATGTTTGTTTGTTTTTCAAATTGTTTACTGAAGGAGTAGATAGATTTGCTATAATCGTCCAACGGTACTTCTTCCTCATCCAGGACCATTGTCAACTCCAGCATATAACAATTGAGTATCACTGTTCTACAGCTGACCTGAAACAGAAAGAAGAGCTTCAGTGTGGGGCGGTAACACATCTGTCATGTCAACAAGCATCAAGCGCACCATGACGTTATAAATCAGTGGTTTGCAATTTTTTTTATTTTGCACAGCTCCCCCCTACCCCTGTAGAAATGACGCCCCATCACCACCACTACCTTTTCCTCACCCCCTTTATTCTTTATTCTCATTGAACAAAGAAACTAAATTACAGTCAGTGTAATTTCCCTAGTGTGGGAAAATTAATTTCCTTTGCTGCGTTCACCCCGAACAGCCACGTGACCCCCAGAAGGGGTCCAGCCCATACTGTCATTGTTTGGTTCTTTTTGACTAAATCTGTTTCACTTCTTCTTTTTCAGAAGGGAAACACCCTACTGTAGTGTGTGTCAATTTTCCAGTCAGAATCAGAAGACATCAACATCCAGCTGGTGAAGATATGTGGCGAGTTGCAGATGATTTCTGGTAAGTTGGGTTTTTTTTAAAGTGGAACATATACCATAACGGGAAACTCAAATGTTCAATTTCCAACAATTCTCTCATACGAGGACGGGACGATATTCAAATTGAATCCATTCATAAAAAGATCCAGTACCAGAATATTCTTTATGTTGTGATTCTGTTTGCTACATTTAACGGGTCTATATCTAAGACATGCCCACTCAGGTGATGAATTCATTATTAAATATCTGTATCGACTTACATTGGTGTAATCAAACGATGGAGTGTACAGCATTGCATCAGATTTCTGGAAATGGGACAAACACAGTTATTAGGCAGACTTAAGCAGCTTCTCTCCTTGTGGACCACCTGACACCATCTCACCGTAACCGTTACCCTCTCTGCTACAGTACCCCAACCACTGACTCCCATTGATCTTCCCTGGGACCCTCCTGTTTGCCTCTTGTCTGGTAGCACATGTGCAAACCATTTTGATTTCTGCCAACTCAGCCTTCTGTCTACTGGGGAAGTGCTACTGTCTCTGCTGACCTCAGACTGACCCAGACCCAGACTTCCACCTGCTCCCTGCTCTTACCACATACTATAATGTCATCTGCAAACAAACATGTTTGACCACATCTGCCAACTTGTCTATCACTCTTAGAAACAAGAAGCAGCTCAGAGCTGATGTAATGGAATCTGTACACTGAACCCATCTGTCACTCTGACTGCACATTGCAGCCCTGTCTTGCGGCCTTTGTACACATACAGCTATATTCTCCTATACTGTCATCTCTAGCCTGTATTTTTTTTTGGCCCATATCACCCACCACCACCACCACTGTCAACGTTAAATGAATATAAAATATGAAAACGGCATAAACATATAGTTAATGTCAAAAGAAGAAAATTGAATACCTTATCTCACCTTAATGGTTTTATTCAAGTTCCTCAAACATTCCTGTAAGTCGTTTATTTCAACATCAGAAATAGCCCAGGAAGACACAGTCAAAAAGCTTAAAAGGAAATTTGAAAAAAAAAAGAGTGTCACTTTGTCCAAAGGTTAAAAAACATATTATCATTATTATTATTATCATTAACAATCATAAATTGACAGTTGTGAAAGTGATTTCAGTAAGGGTTAGCACAGATAACTGATGTGTGGAAGAGAAAAGCAGCTGTGCCAGGTTAATAGAAACATTTTACCATATATGTTGGTATAAAAGCTCATTACGTAGTAAGATGTGAGATGTATGATTACCTTATAATTAGGAAACAAAACCACCCCTGGACGTGAGAATGGAACAACGCACCACTCTAGAAAGACAAGGAAACCATAAAAGCATGGATTGGTTAGTTTAATAATAAACACCTTACTGAATTCGTGACCTGGTTGACAGTGTACTATACGGTGTTGCTCACCAGAAGGGGGCAGTGGTCATGGATTATTGTCTTTTATTACTGTCAACGTTTGACTCACTCTAAACACGTCTCACTCTGCTCATCTGGTGTTGTGAAGTTTCATCCTACCCATGGAAACGTCAACTTAACTACGCATGCGTAAATTTGATTGATTCCCAACCTAAGGGGGTTCATTGTAGAAGATTCCTGAGTGATATCGATGTGGGCGGAGTCCACCGCAGGAGAAGTGAAAGTGAAACTACAGCAGCGACAACACCTTCTGGGTCTGTTTTGGGGTTTTGTTTTGTTTTTACTACCAATAAGTAGAAATGTGTACGTTTGCGCACGTTAGCTGAACAACCTAAACCCTGGACACACGTGGTGACACACCTCCGATCACTACAGCATAGATTCCCAAGTTCCTAAGTCCAAAAATCTGTCCCGGAATAGGCTAACGGCAAAATGGGTTGACTTTACTGGTAGCCGAACACACGCACACACACACATCTTACCGCTTGCTGCTCTCCGGGGCATGAGAACTGGGCTAAGATTACCGGGAGTGTCGTCATCAGGTCTGTCATCTGCGCAACCACAGCAGTTGTTGCCCTCCAATCCCTTGGAGCCGCAGTTCGAGGTCACATTTTGACATTTCACGGGAGTCAACGAAGCTTGCTAGCCTCAGGAACACATTAACCGACCTGCCGGTGTGATTTCCCAGTGGTTGAGCGCGACTGTCAAACCCTGACCCTGTGCAGCTGTGTAACAGTTACAGTCCACTCCTCTTTTCAGTCGTCACGTCGTCGTCTACACTCAGCAGCTACTTAACAGCAAGTTGAGATTTTTCTGGATCAAGTTTCCCATAGATTGACTGTATAGAAATTAAAACACCAGAGCTTCCAGGTTAATTAAACACTCACGACAAACTGAAGCCCATCTACACAGGAAACACATTTTTTTAATTATTATTTATTTCGACATAGTAAACGACAGGACAGAACTAGCAGCTACATAGTCGTGCCAGGTGTCTGGAGGTGGAACACTGAGCCAAATTCAACCTTATTGTTCAAAAGGAAAACTCTGACAGCTTTCAAAATGTAATGAACATTACTTTGAGTACCAAGTAACAGTAGTTTTGTAGTAAACGCAGTAACAACCCTCTGTTTCTTTTCCTTTTCTCTCTGTAATTATTATCATATCATTCCAGAATGCGTCCAAACCAAAGCTTTTGGAGGAGGTAGAGCAACACCTGGGAGCAGCTGACCAATCAGGAAGCAAGCTTCAGCTCATAGAAGTTCAACCTTTGCCTGCAGGAACCACGGTAGGTTAATATAAAGTAGTAACGAATCAGGATTATAATCAGAAGTAATTGCAGACCCAAGTCCAAAGACAGACAGTACTGATTTATTGATTAAAGCCTTGTTTGTGCTCCATCATAAAAACGTAACGCATAACGTTATGCTGTTGTTAGGCAATGTGTCCACTATGGGGCAGTCCTCAGTTCAGAGTTTGCGCCGGTAATATGAATTAATAGAGCATAATGATTGTTTGTTTGTTTTTTTAGTTATGAATGATCTTGTTGTCATTAATAGAGCATAATGATTGTTTGTTTTTTTTTTTAGTTATGAATGATCTTGTCTCAGTCTTGTTTCAGTCACCTTAGTCTGATCAGTTGATCCATGATGTGCCTGATAAATTCAACAGCTAAGGAATCCAGTCAGGGCAAATGAAGGAAAGACATCACCTTTAATGCACCTTGTTCAATGGTCAACAGAGTGTGTGTTCTTGGTCCACAGCTAAAGAGGCCCTTGAATTCTCCATAGTAAATCATTACAGTAATCTCAACACTCGACACATTGTGAACTGAATCTCTTTATTCTACAGACAGCTAGGCACTCCCATCCAGTTTAAGACCAGCAAGAGAGTCAGCAGCTGCATCCTCTTCCTCCTCTTCATCATCTTCCTCCTCATCATCCTCCTCCTCTTCATCATTATCTTCATCCTCCTCCTCCTCATCGTCATCTTCTCCATCCTCGTATTGTTGGGCTCCTCCACCAGATGCCAAGTTCTTCCAGTAGGAGTCGTACCCAGAGGCTCCGTCGTAGTCGTCGTCCTCGTCGTCAGCGCCAGACTGGCGGCCGAATTTGAGCGTTCGAGCTACAGGGAGAAACAGGTGTGGATTAAGTTACAGTGAAAGTGATGGAAAAGGTCAAACATGTAGGTTCTACTGTTTGACCACAGTGGGCAGCAGTGTGTGGCGACGGTGCTATGCTCAGAGCACCTCAGTGGTAACTTGGCAGCTGGTGGACTCGAACCTGAAACCTTCCGGACCCAAATCCGCTTCCTTAACCACTAAGCCACCACTGCCCCTAACTTCTGCTAACTGTACATTTTCAAGATCAGAGGGAGACTCACTGGACATGCTGAGATCTTTTGTCTCCTGCGTCTCGTGACCACACTTTGGGCACGGTGGAGCTCGGCCCTTCTCCTGTTTGAAGACTTTACTCTTGGCATGGTCATCGCAGTAGCAGGCCTGAGAGGGATGAGGTAGACAGTCAAACATTTTACCTCGTGGAATTAACTTGAATCTCAAATGTCACTCTCCCTCTTTATCTGATTATAGGAGACTGTGGAATCTCCAAACCAGAACCAGCAGGCTCAAAGACAGTTTTATCCACCAGGCCATGAGGAGTCTCAACTCCCTACCTGCCCTGCCCTCCCTCCCTCCACCCTTTGTCACACACAGATTCTACTTTGCCGCTCCTATCCTCCCCATTTCACACACACACAGTTTCTCTTCTACTCATTTGCACTAATTATTTGCACTATATGAATAAAAAGACTGTGGCTCCTCATAAACATATTGCACTATCCCATGTCCTACCTCACCCTCAAATGAATAAACAAATAAGTAATTACTATCTGTCACCACTCATTGTTCATTCTGCCTGTAATTACTGAGTAATGTCACAGTACATGTCTTTCAGGATATTTTCTCATGAGTGTGTTTCTTTGTACATTTAGTTAGTTTATATCCCTACTATATTCTTGCCATTTTTGCACCGTGGGTCAGTTTCATTGTGCCATATGTCCTGTATGTATGGCATATCTGACAACAACAAGACAACAACAAGTACTACTACTAACAAACGTCTTGATCTGGTTGTGACTCTGACCAGAGTACTCCGGATAAATTGCTAAATTCCCTCATTCCAAAAATGCTTTAATCCCCATGAGAGGAAAGGAACCAATTAGGACTTCTTTTCCGGAATTTTTTTTGTGTGTGTGGAACAAACATGCATCTCAGGTAAAAAATAAATGGTATACAGTACTTATAAACAACTCACCTTGCAACGCAGGCAGGAGTGTTGACCAAGTCTATTACAGGATACACCTGCAGGGGATGATTTGGAGAAACACTTGCATCAAAAATATGTGAACTTTAATTGTGTCATTTCCAACAAAGGACTAATGATTGACAGTAACTGTGAGGATTTATAAATAACTCACACTTGTAAGTCTCTGCCTGGAGGACTTGGCAACTGGCCTGGTGCTCAAACTGATCATCCTCACACAGGAAATTATGACAGAAAGAGCAGCGGAAAATCCTCCCTCCTGTTTAGAGAGTTCAAGTGTAGCCAGTGTATGTTTGGTCCCTAATATGATGACAGTACACTTCAAGGCAGGGCCTTCTTACCGTGGTCCCAAACACAGCGCTCACACTCTATGCAGTCGGCGTCAGTCAGGGGACAGACACAGGCGTGAGTGCTCAGACATTTCCTACCATGGCACACCCAAGCTTCGCAGAAGTCACACACTGCCCCCTAGCAGTCAACAAGAGAATTGTATGCTTAATGCATTTAAAAAAGAATGGTTCAGAGAACGGAGTATTCTTGCGACTACATTGATTAGATTTCGGTTCCATTGTTTACAGTAAGATAATTGTGTTAGCATTTTTAAAAGAAGGTCAATCAGGCAACATAAAAGGCTACAGGTAGCAATTATATTGCTGCAAAATAATTGTGAAGTATTGTCATCTTACCACCATGGCCATCCCAGTAGTGTGAATCCCTGGGTGTTTGATGACGCAGTCTGAAGACTTCATGCACTTCGTTTTGCCTGACAATATGAGATTGACATTTAGAAAACAGTTACTGTACAATAGAACTTCTGGTGTATCAAATGACTTCTTTTAAACAGTTTAGTCAATGTACCAGGAAAATCCGGCAATAGAGTGTTTGTCATGAATACATCTTCTTGCATCCCTGCAACTTTATTGTTTTATATAAATCTACTCCCCCAATTCTCTTAAAACATTTTAGAGATTAGCTGCTGCGCCCACTGGACATGTCAAAGTCTGTAAATAAGTGTCTGAATTGCAGGACAGCTATATATAGTGCAGATGTGAAAAGTCATACACCTTCAAAATGTTTTGCATTTTGAAACATGGATAGTCATTTACTTACCACACTGAGCGCAAACAGGGAGCTTCTGAAAGGAGTTACAGAAGTAGCAGAAGGCCCTGTTCTTCTGTTTTCTACCCCAAGAAAAAAGCAAAACAGTGTCAACTCGTATACCGCTTGCATGTTCTTTCGCAAACCACGTGTAACAACAACGTAATTACTCACCTCTGACATTTGTCACACTCCTATAAAAAAAGATGACAGTGACACAATATAAAATTAATCATCAAAGTGCTCATTTGTCATAGGTTTTTAGGTGTTCTTGTTTTCTTACCATGATGAAGTTACATGGGTGTTTAGCCACGTCGACATTTTCCCGGTTAGCACGGCTCTGTTTCTCTCGTTCTTTTCGGCTCTCGGCCTTTTTCCGGGCCCCGGTTTTCTTTTTAGGCATCTCTGCGCCAGGGAGGGAATGTTTAGTTTGATGACAACAAGCTCTGTTTTACATGTTCCTGTCAAAACCAAACAGACTGGTGATCGAACACCGTGTGTACGAGCGGTGCCAATGACTGCAGAAAACTAAAAGAACTAACACGTTACATACATAAACATAAAATGTTCTACGATTATACAGAAAATATTCTTCACTTGAGGTATGAACCTTCGTTAAAGTAAATATGTCATATAGTAAGTATAATGCTAGTAGCCTAGTTTGTCTTTGTGAGTTAGCAGTTTACGCAGTTACTAGTACAGAAAGACTTACCAGTTGGTCACGTGTTGTGACGTTTAAAATTCAATGTTTCTAGTTTTGTTTTGTTTTTGTTTTTTAAGACGTTTAACTGTTAAAAGGATAGTTTTTACAAACTCGTTACTCCGGTATAATGCGTTATTACACAACAGACCGGTTGCGGAGAAAGTAACTGGTCCGATAGGAATAAGTGCACGGAATGAAACACCGACGTTAAAAGATTAGTTCCTTCCTTTCGGTTTATCCAGTTATAGGTACGCTCACATGCGTTTTAAATTTAAAGTGATTTCTGCTCAGCGAATATATGTTTGAATACATAAACTATGAATTCGGATTGAAATGTTCGGCCAGTGTGTTGTACAACGCAGTAGTGATGTACTGTTAATGCCTTAGACTTAGAGCATTAAGGTCATAGATTTGCATTTAATGTCGGGCGGCGATTAGCCAAACGAATTACTGTGGAGTTTGTGTGTATATATCTGTATAAAGTACCGTGCGTGGTTTAACGTCCTTTTGTGCAGTCATTTTCTCCCACAGTTGCTTTTTGTGCATGTAAAAATAATGACAGCCCAGAATTATTTGCTTGTGCTGTGAATTGGTGTTTTTTTAGTGACAAAAAACAGTCTGGTACAGCACAAGGTGATGACATATATTTTTGGTCCATTAAAAAAAAATGTTGTCCCATAGTTTTGTGGAAACTTGTTTGTAGTTACATAATTTCCGATATTTTATCACAGTGAAATCTGTCCCCACAGTTGATTAGTATTTTTAAAATTTTCAGGTTCGACAATTAATTCACCAGCCTGTCCCTGAGTCATGTTCCGACCCAGACATGGGTAATTACTCGTTGATTGATTCATGATGCCTTTTTTTATTTCCCCCGCAGGCCATTGGGCATCCAAGGCCTCCGTCCAGGTCACGTGCAACCAATCCTGAGCGAGAACGGGAACCAGCTGACGTTGGTCAACAACACAGCCTCGTCTGCGCCTGCAGGTGCGTCGGTGGGTGTGGGTGTAGTAATAATCTCCCGCACGGAGCTCCATGGTTGAATAGACTCTCTGGGCGTCTCATGCATGAGGGAGGGCCGGCACCTGGCCCTAACTTCACCGCCAGGTTAATGAATTTTCAACCTGTGGCTCGTTAAAACTGAGTGATTGACATTTTTTATTCAGGAGCAGCCCGGAGAAGGAAGAGCAGGACGAGGTGGATGCCCGGAGCTTGCTGTTCGTCCATCCTTCTTTCCCTTATTCAGCTTGAACAATGGCACCATCTCTGGTGGGAGCATGCCGCATTTTAGCTCTCTCAACGTGGCTGCTGTCATTCTGTTTTGTCCACCTGCTGTGTCTGGACTTCACGGTGGCGGAGAAAGAGGAATGGTACACCGCCTTTGTCAACATCACCTACCTGGACCCGGTCACATCGGAGGTCAAGACGGAGAAAACTGAGTGCGGGCGCTACGGCGAGCACTCGCCCAAGAAGGAAGCCAAAGGTCTGGTTCTGGTACCGTCTCTCCCCCAGGACAGACAGGGCTGCGACCCCTATGTCCGTTTCCCCCCTGTGCCCCACGACACCTCCTGGGTGGCTCTGTTGGCTGCGGAAAACTGTTCGTACCAGGAGAAAATCCGAAACATCGCCAACCTGAACGCCTCAGCTGTGGTCATATACAACACCGGCTCCAGCAGCCCCAACGAAACCATAACCATGGCCCATCCAGGTAAGAGACAACCGACCGGACGGGACCAGACTTGTCTGTGAGCGGTTTTATTAATTTAATCGTTTATTAATTTTCAGCCACTCAATCCGGTTCAGTGACAGTAAAGAGTAAAGCTGCAAATTTGCAGGAACACATTGATTTCACCACAGACAGACAGACAGACAGTGTAAAGTCCACTCATCAGTTTCATAGGTGGATTCACTGAGATCCAAAGTTTGTCATTTTCCGTCCAGAGACTGAAAAAACAACCAAAGGTATTTACAGAACAGGTCTGACAAAGAACAGAACTCGCTCCAGACCTGTGTTCAAATGTTTTGCACATGTGAGATCCACATGTAAAACAAAACAAATACTTATTTGTCACATTATCTGCTCCTTCTATAGTAGAAGTAGAAGGAGTAGAAGTACACAGTACAAGCATAACCTCCAACATTTAAAAAAAACTACTGTAGGGGGGGAGGGCAAGCATAACCTCCAACATTTAAAAAAACTACTGTAGGGTGTACCTGGACAAACCCTTCTGATCCACTAAAACTACTTCAACCATTCACTGCACTGTGGGGGAAAAAAAACATTATTAGAAGTAAAATGGTGATGCATGATGATGCACAAGAACAGCTGGTTCAGACCATAAACCTTTTCAGAAAATTGTTGATGTTTACCATGGCTGTACTTTGCAAACATCCATTTCTTTTATGGTGGCTGTGATAGAGACTGATAGAGATAAAGAAATAGCCCAACAGAAACTCTGAGCTGGTAAAGCAGGGTGACTGCAACAGGATGCTATCTAGCTGCATTGTTCCTCTCCATAAAGCGAAACAGTTAATAATTGATGGAAATTAAATCATCAACTTTCTGCTGACTTCTCCACCTTAATCCTTGTTGCAGTCTAGGGCTGTCCACTTCGTATATATAGTCTACAGACGGGTCATTTAAAAAATAAAAACAAAATAACCTTTATATATATATTCTCTTTTTTTTTTTTTTGGTGTGAGATAAATGCATTTTTTCGCTAACCCATCGCTAATTTTACTACATTTAGTCAGGTGATAAATATTCATGTTTTCATTAAAGTCCTCTTGAAAAGTCATATGATGTTTGTTCATGTAAAAACACATTGTTAGTTTTGTTCCAAAAGCCTGAGCTATATACACTCACTAATCCACGTCAGTGTAATTGTTGTGTTTTCTCCAAATAACAATTTGTTATATTTTGTATTGTACTTCCTATGTCAGAGGCAATAAAAAAATGTATGCCTTTAATACTGCTGCCTAGATTAGCTTAGCTTAGCTTAGCTTAGCTTGGCTAAGCTTGTAGAAAATAAAACTTTAAGTTTGATGTAGTTCCCTGTATTTCCTTGTGGACTGGACTCTGCTGAAAACTCAAAAAAGTTTGTTGTTTTGTTTTGTGTTTTAACAGTAGCTTTGTGTCCATTTTTCACTGCACCCATGTATGTCCACTTCCTCCTACTAGCAAATGTGCACATACACAAATAAAAGAGATAAAAGACTCTCACGAGAATTCAACATCACTTTTTTTCAACAGATATGTGTAATTAAATGATATCAGAGCCTCTGGTCTTCACTTGATGTTGAAATTGTTTAGTGGTGATCTTTGTGATTTGTCCAGGATGTTGTCCAGGGTTCTGGCCCGTTTTATTTCGACCTCGTTGTTTCAGAGACACGCATCTGTTCTGTTCAAGATCAGCCTCAGTCTGAGACACTGGTCTCCTGTTTTTAGAAGCAGCTATTTTTGTCTTCTCTGGCTGGCTGCGTCACAGTGAACAGAAGGAGATAAGAGTCGAGGCTTACGTGTGGGTTTATCCCGTCTGTTATATTTCTGCTTATGAATCTGAGCTTGGTCATACATGTGAGCATCATCTGTGCAACAGTGGCCTAGTTTTCTTTTCCCGTGAGAATGTCTGTGCTTCTTTTAAGTGTGTTTGTCACCAATGTGTCCAGTACTGTTAATACTTTGTTACCGTTACACTTAGTCCTTGATTTATTATAACAGTGTACCATTAACCACTTGATGGTTATAATAATAACAGTAATAATAATAATGTTGTTATTATTATTATTATTACTAGTATTAATAGTATTGCTGTTTATTTTGGTGTTAATATTATTATTATTAAATGTATGTGTATATTTTTCATTCTTTTATTGTATGTGCATATATTACAATCACATTGGTCCTTATTGTTTAATTAGTCAATAAAACACCTCCTAAATGAACACATTTAAAGTTATCTGTTTTTCCATGCAGGTACAGGTGATGTCGTTGTCATCATGATCCCAGAGTCCAAAGGTCGGGAGATCGTGGCCCTGCTGGACCAGAAAATTGCCATCATGTTGTACATCACCATAGGCACCCGCAACTTGCAGAAATATGTGAGCCGGACGTCGGTAGTGTTTGTCTCCATCTCCTTCATTGTGCTCATGATCATCTCACTGGCGTGGCTCGTCTTCTACTACATCCAGAGGTTTCGCTATGCAAATGCACGAGACCGCAACCAGGTACCGCCCTCTGTGGAGTGTGTGTGTGTTTACAGACAGCTTTATGTGTATATTCTTCATTCTTTTATTGTGCATTACAATAAAAGAGTGGTGGCTGGGTGGTTAAGGAAGCGGACATGAGTCTGGAAGGCTTCAGGTTGGAGTCCACGAGCTGCCAAGTTACCACTGAGGTAACCAGGCTTTGGAGTATTTTTGGTATTTATGTAAATATTGATACATCTTTTAATCTGGCATTACAATTTAACTTGCACAAGAGACCTTAATTAACACAAAACCTATTCGAAAAATTACCAAAAACTATATATTTATGAAACAGTTTAGTTCTAATTGTCAGATCACAGATGGGGATTTTTAACATCTGTGATTTTATTTTATTTTTGTGTATTTATTTATGGCTCCCCAGCAACACATAGTGGTCACAGTAAGTGCTGGGAATAACCATGAATTCTGTGATTTGCTATGAAAATATCCAAGAGGTTAAATGGCCAATAAATATGCAGCGTCCTGTGACGGTGGTAGAAGTTCATTTTATTATGTAATGCTCAGAGCTGGGCTGTAGGCTCATCGACCGTCGCCTGGGCTACGACGGCTTTAATGACTTGTGTGAGTAGCTGCTCCCGCCTGGTTAATGCCGCCTGCAGCCTTTAATACAGCTGGTGAGATACAATGACATGGCAAACCAATGAACCATCAACCCGCTCAGCCCTTTGCCCTTTGAGCAAACACTGGCTTCTGTCATCTCCTTTAACTGAATGGCTGCCTCTGACATTCATCTAAGGTTTGAAACCAAGGCTTGTTATGGTTGGACCCAGCGCCTCGGCAGCCGCTGTTTGCTCTTTCACTTTCGCTTTATGTTGACTTTTTGAAATGGCCAATGTTGAAAAAAACCTCAGGTCAACGACTTGGAAATTTGGAAAAGTGTGTCACTTATTTTCGCTTTTTGTTTTTCCTAGAGGGATTTTAATCATTTTTGTTGGATGTCTGGATATTTATTCAAATTTAATTCTACCTTCAGATTAGTCATATGTGTTTACAAACTGTAAAAACAAAAAAGCTCAACACTGCTTAGTCTTTCCACTCATTTTTGTTATGTATCATCTCCTTGTGTCAAACGTGTCACAGCGGCGACTGGAAGATGCTGCCAAAAAAGCCATCGGCAAACTCCAGCTACGGACCATTAAGAAAGGAGACAAGGTAGATGGTATTCTCTGCACTCATGAAAATCAAGCCATGTTTCTGCTTCACTAAGTTTAAAATTATAAATACATTTGTTCAGTGTGTGATGTTCTGTACTCAGTGGCCTTTCCCTTCACTTTGCATTCAGGAGACCGAATCAGAATATGACAACTGTGCAGTTTGCATTGAGGGTTACAAGCCAAATGATGTCATCAGGATATTACCATGCAGGTAATGTTGTTAAAGGGAGTGACTTTTCTGACCTATTTTTCCTGTGTAAACGGTTTTCTCATTTTACCCTGTGTAAGAATTAATGTGTTTGCCTTTTCTCTTATGGCGATGCTATGTAACCTGCTGTGACTGACTTACGTAAAAAATATTTGCATAGAAATTAAAAAGAAAAGTTCAACTTTAAACATTAAATATTTACTTTAGAGATCAAACCAGATCCACAAATGTTCTATACCGGCCTGTATAATGAGTTTTAATTATATTTAAAACGGCTTTCATTTGACCTTTTTATGCAAAGCCCCACCAGAGGGCACAATTCAGACAACATGTCTCCTTTAACTTTTAGGTAATGGTTCAAAGGTTTTTCCGCAGACTTGTAACTGTAATTCTTACAAAACAAAAAAAAAGCAACAAAGGAAGTAAATTTGCAGTGGTGAAATATTAGTCCAATAGATCTGCGCCCTAGGAAGTAAATTTGCAGTGGTGAAATATCAGTCCAATAGATCTGCGCCCCCCCCCCAAAGGAGGCGCCCCACACTTTGAGAATCACTGTTTCAAAAACAGGTTTTATTTTTGTTTCGCACACACATTCTGATAACAGGTTTTATTTTTGTTTCGCACACACACACACATTCTGATAGTGACCCCACTTTTCAAATTTGTGTCCCATTTTTGCCACTGAAACAGATGAACTCTACCCGTCGTTGTAAAATTACTCATGAACATTTCAGACGTGCAGGAAGATATTTTACATACTTTGAAGAGTTTAGCGCCCCCTGCATTGTCCAGGTGTATTTTCCACTCATGGTTCTTTCTTTGTGTTTCTACACATTTTCAGGCATGTGTTCCATAAACACTGTGTAGATCCATGGCTGCAGGAACATCGCACGTGTCCCATGTGTAAAATGAACATTCTTAAAGCCTTAGGAGTCCCAGTAAGAGCATTTTCTATGAAAGTCTAACACACGCAGCCACAAACATCGCTCTCATTAAAGCAGCGTGTGCTTTGGTCATGTTCCAGTTCAATGCAGACTGTTCAGAAGACATGCCTCCTGACTATGAGACGTCCATGGCAGGCCCACCCACCAACCCCATCAGCGGGGCGAGTGAGATTACAGTGAACGAGAGCCTGGTGGTTCTGGATCCTGCAGCCAGGGCTGCGGCTCTGGAGCAGCTCTCAGCTGACGCCAACACAGCACTACAGGCCGGAGTCAGCCGTATCATTGCCAGCAGTGAGTGGACATGTTACACAGCACTCTGTGACTAATGTGTGTTTCTGCAGCACGACTGCACAAAACAATGCAATTTTTATTGCAATTGCAATTCGTATGGAAGGAACGCGGCAAAATCCAAAAAGCTTAGCAACCTGCCAAAAAAGGCACCACCAACAGGGTGAGGCAGGCACTGCACAGAGGGCGCTGATCTGTTGAGAGGGGGGACACAGAAAGACAAATGAATTTAACTGTACAATCAATACTTTATTTTTTCACAGCGGAGAAATTACACTGATTTGTGGTTGTAATTCACATCAGTTAAAATCAGTTCTGTAATTCTAACAGTGTTAAATTTAATTATATATGTATGTGTATAAATATATATTTATATATGTATATATATATATGTATACACACATATATATGTTTTGTAGCTGCTGTAGCCGTTGCCTCGGAGCTCACGGTGCCTCTCCTCCTCCTCCTCTCCTCAGGTGAGCACCAGCCTCTCAGCAGTGACTCAGACACCTCCATCATAATGGATGTAGAGGTAGGTTTGTCTGATGTAGACATGTCCACAGAGCGAGACGGAGACGTGTCCAAATCCTGAGCTTTCGAAGGGTGGACGCGGGAAGGACATTGAGATGGCGGTGGTGGTTCTTAGAAACTTTCCCAGGAGGAAGTGACCTCATCGAAGACGGGGACATATGCAATACAACCCACAGCAGCACAAACTCCTGGTTCTGTCTTTACTACCTAGACAAACAGACTGTCTCTGAGAGACATGTCCAGAGCTCCATTTGTCACGGCCACACAGTGGTCACTCCATATGGTCATGGTCTAACTGCTGTTTACATACGTAGTGACGTGTGCCTGACATGAAGAAGAGCAGCATGGGATCGGTTACACTTGCTGCAGCTTTAAATAAATAAAAAAAAAAAAACAAAACAATCATTTCATTGATGGTGTCACATCACTGCCAATGTTTGTCATAACGTTCATGTAGCACAGCCACAAGAATCATCTGCACAAGAGCTGGTGTGGAGCCGGCTTTTTTTTTTTCCAGCACCAGACACGGGAAACGTTTTCTACTGTAGACCCTGTAGAACATTCTAAGCTGCTGCACTTCCAACTGTTTAAAAAAAAAAAAAAAAACAGCTGTTGAGTTCGCGTCCTCTCACTTGACAATCAGAGCTTGCCTCGAGCAGTTTACAGTGATGTCGTGCACTGCCCTGTTGAAACCGCTGCTGGTTTTACAAGAAGCCACAACACGTGTCCTGGGCTCCGAGTCTGTGTGTGTGCGTGTGTTTGTGTGCGTGTGTTTGTGTTTGTGTGCGTGTGTTTGTGAGGACGGTATCGTTCGTGTCTCCTCCACTGCTGCTGCAGTTTTCCTCTCCAAAGCGTCAGTGTGTACGTGGTTTAATGTCAAACGTCCTAATATTGTTGTCAACAAGTCCGTGCCAAGTTGACCGGAGGTGTTAGAACATGGCTCCCAATTCCTGTACGTGGTTTTATTTTGGCTGCCCATTACTGATGAAGTCGGTGCACGACGACAAACACAAGAAGTGGAAAAAGTAACTTTTGTTTTTTTTTTGTTTTTTTTTTGACTGGAGAGGTTGTTTTTTTTAAATACTAGGACTTTGTGATGCTGGGATGTTTTTACAGCATGACACGATGACAGCATGGAAATGTTTACAGTGACGGAAGACAAATCTTTTACTCCTTTGAAAATAGTGAAAGGAAGATGCATGAACCCCAGTGTTACTACAGCTGGGTCCTCACAGATACTATCAATCTAGCGTTATTGACTTGACATTTTTATTATTATCCATCATTTTGTGTTTCGTCTCTTTGAAGAATCACTCCTGTTTTATATTTGCTACTGTGTAGTCCTCAAAATTTCATTTCAACTTGATAATTAATTCATTAAGAACTCAAACCTCATTTCCCCACAAATTACCAACTAATAATGTTTTTTTTTTTTTTTTCGTTTGGGAAAAACTTCTTTGCTTTCCTCTGTCAAACTCAAACCCAGCTCTCCTGCACAACATTCCTGGGACTGTGGGGAATGTGGGGCTGGGAAGATCCTACTCAGAAAACTGAAACGGGAGAAATGTTGAGAAGGTTTTTATTTCTATATGATTGCTGCAGGTCAGAAACATTTGACCTGTTACAGACGTGGGATTGTTTGGCTGTGGATGATATCATACAGATCAGGGGTCACCAACGTGGTGCCTGGGGGGTATCTGGTAGCCCCCGTGGACAACTACAATAAAACTAGTCAACATGAAGGTCACAAATGTTACTGTTACTGTGTTGTTTTTTTTTATCAGTTCCACTTGCAATGATATTCAAATGGGTTCGACGACGATGGTAAGAAGAGAGCGTCTGCTATTGTATGTTCTAGAACTAATGATTGTTACATTGTTCAGTAAGTCTGTATCAAACAAGGAGCTCTTTGTGTTACTGAGTGACCTTGAAGTAGTTCTCAGTTTCAGAAAGGTCGGTGACCCCTGGTATAGATGGTGTGTGATGGAGTGTGAATCCCTTGCTCTCGCTCTGTGTGTGTATATATATTTATATATATACATATTTGGATATATGTATAAATATATATATATTTATGCTTATACAATATGTATATAAAGGAAGTAATATATTGAGGAACTTACTTTTTAAAAACAAGTGCTCCTTTATTAGGAAGAATACAGCTGTACCTTTCTATTGGTGCGATGGGGATTCATTCTGCCAACCCCGTCCACACGTGGGTACGCTGAGTATAAACTGAATGTAACCATTTTCACAGTTACTGGTGGAAAGAGAACATCAGCTGCAGCATCATCTCTGTGAAATACTGTAATAATCTGATGTGTTGAGTTTAGGCCTTAAAAAAAATCCCTGAATATTTGAACACAGACTTCACATTAGAATAAGGCAACCACAGCAGACCAGATTGTTGTTTTCTGTGTAATCCTTCTCTGTTCACATTTCTCCACATTTACAGACAAAAGAAGCACAGACCCAACTACTGACTCAATCTCTGTATTCTCTAACCAGGGATTTTCTTTCCTGTTAATGCTTCCGTTATGTTCAGAAGCCATCTGGAATTTTATTGCGCAACACACACCCAGGTCCTCACTACTCTGACCGTTGAAAAGAGTTTGGATGCACCTCCACCATGTGAGGAATTTGAAAGAAGTTATGGAGGGGGAAGGGATGACTGTACAGATATAGATGTTTCAATCGCAGCTAGCTTGGTCTTTTAAGCCTCTCTTTGTTACATTGTCTGTAGTAATGAAGCAGCACAGCTAATGTAAATATACTTTTGCTGCTTATTGTTGTTTTTCCTTACACTTTTAAAGATGTTATGCTCATTTTTTTCACCTGGCAGACACGTTTTAATAATTAAGGCTCTCAAACGAAGGCACTTTTTTGATGTGATTAATCACTTGGTAAATGGGAATTCAGTAGAATGAGTAAAAGGATAAGCTTTCAAATCTTTTGTGATGTCAACAATGTCAATCAGTCCACTGTACCTGAAAATCTAGTTGGCAATTGTGTAAGTCAGTTGTCACAACTGACAAGCTCACTGACCTACTACAGTTGTCTGTTAGAAGCCCTGCGTCCAGCCTGAAGTAAAAGTCTCTGCTCGTGTGAACCAAACAAAAGATCTTGGTCATTGTTTTAATGTGAAATCTCAATTGACAGGGATAGGGATGAATATCACAGGTGTAGCAAATAAATCAAATTACATAAAGATGCCAATTATTTAGGAAACGGTCAAATATGTGGCACCCATGTGGTCAGTTTGTACACATTGTACAGTGTACTTTGTACATTGTACCTCATGTATACTTTGGCCACTCCTGCTCTGATCATTTCCACTTTTCCCCATAAAATGTCTTAAACTGCACTTTAAGCTGCAACACTGAATGACCCCAGGGCTACGGTGTTGACGTCTTTGATCTCTTCTATCTGTTGTTTACTTCATGTGGTAGTAGGGTTACCTGCTGTTGGACAGACACTGTATTGTACACTGTCTTGAACATACAGAAGATAAGTGTTGTTGTTTTTGTTTTTTATTATTAAAATAATATCTCAAATGAATGAATGGTGGAGTGTTCCTATTATATATTCATCATAAATGTCTTTGTTTTCTAAGGTTTCTTAAATGCTTTGGTTTTACACTTTTACAGTTACATGACTAATTAGGATAATTGTTTTTGAAGTAATAAAGTAAAAAAAATAACAGTCATGTTTTCAGTTAAAATGATGCCTAGCCATTAATGTTTATCAGTAGCTAATTGTTCTACCATTGTGCAACATTACGTTGTTTTTTTTTCCCCTAAAAAATAAGAAAAACAAGTAGGTTGTTATATAATCTAAGTATTCCATTGCTACAATTTAGACACAAGTTTATTTTGTTAGCGTCATTACACACCTAACTGTTCAGTAGTTGGAAAGGTTGATCCTTTATAAAACTATTAAAAGGACACTGTTAAATGTTGTGAAGAAGAAAAACAGAAATATAGAGGAAAAGAGGAGCAGGTGTTATTTTACCATAACTGACCATTTAAAAAACAAATCAAAAACTGTTAGCCCTCCCTCTGAGGAACTCAGCGCTAACACGTCCGTTAAAAAAAGCAAAGGTATTTCAATTCTGTGAATTTTCGTAATTATTTGCAATTTATATCCACGAGTGATTAGGTCCTGGAGTACACGTAAGCTTCGCTTGTAACGTGAATTACTTAACTTTGCCTGTAGATGGTAGCATTGCATTTCTAAATGTGAATCCTGTCGCAAGGACCACAGACACCAGGTCGAAAGAACCATCAACCGGTTGATGGGTTAGTAACCCACAAAAGTTTCCGGTGGGATATTGTTTTGTTTGTACGAAAAAGCTACTTTGATCATGAAGTAGCACCGCTGCGACACGTAAGTGAGTCCGCCATCTTGGAAGAGTGCACCTTGTAAACAAACAAAACGATATTACTTTATTTATCTCTGGGAAATATGTTTTATTTTTTTGTTTGAGATTAGGGTTTTTTTTATTATTATTATTTTGCTTCTTAAAGCCGACCTTTAGCATTGTTCCCATATTTACCTTCTACAAACAAAAATGAAAAAAGTCAGTAATTTAATCAAAAATGCTACTTTTATTATGCAAGCATTTACCTGATTATAGGTCAACCATACGGTAAGCCATAAAAAATTACATAAATTCCGGGTGTTTTGATGTGTAACCACAGAGTTTTGTTTTTGATTTTCTTCTCTCCCAATAGTTTCATTCTGTTGAAGCAGAAATGATTCATTCTGAAAGGGTTTAGGAGAAAATTCCCATAAAGTTACAGTATGTTTATGGGGTTTTTGTTAACAAGACAAAAATACAGAAGATATATATATATATTGGTGTAGTACAAAGAAAAGGGGAATTCTACCAAATAATTTTACTTTAGTTTTTACCTCACATGCGTAATTTCTTTCAGCCCTTCTTTTGAAACCAAACGGGCCCTTCCCCACTGACCTGTGAGTCAAACCTATTAGTTTAAAGGTAGTATTAGAAGAAATATTTAATTGTGTTGTTTATTCAAATGAAACAAAACTGAAAATCAACTGTGCCAAACCTGTTTAAGTTTGGAATGGAACTTTAACTCATACATGGTCTCTTTAATTTAACATGGTCGTCTTTAGCATATTTCAGGGAATTCATAAATAACCATGTTTATCTTCTCAGGAAACATTTGTTTTTGTCAAAGGAAACAACTAATAGCATGTTTCAGCTTTGAAAGAAGCTGTTGTGTTTTTTTCTACTTAGAGAAGGACAATAATGTACTGCAAAAACAGGCGAGTCTTCCTCATGTGATATAAAAGGAGGAACTGTGAAATGTATGTGAAAATGAGGATATGATTCAGAAAACAAAAAAAGGAACAGGCTGTTCCAGATATGCTTTTGCTGGTAATTGTTAGACTGGGTTAGATTGTCATGGAGCAACATTACAGTCATTATATTGTCATTCTCAGAACCCATAAAGAATTCTTTGACTTATTTCTGTGAGAGGCACGGCAGTCTGACTGTGACTGACAGACCTCTGGCCTACTTATACTGTATTTAACACGAGTTCTTCATATTGTCAACATCCAGAGGTTAGATATCCGATGATAATATTGTCATGTAGCCACATTTATATTAAAACCTTATGCTTATCCTTTAATGAAATCTTATAGTAATTGACCTGTTCTCCAGGTAAACAGCATTTACACCTATATTAGCTGTATAGCAGAAAGAAAAAAAACCCAATTTATTTTATGAGTAAGTCAAGAAAGGTGGAAAGTACACTTATTTGCAAAGTCAAGTTTAAAAATGATACCACGTAGAAGTCATCCTGGATCTGATATAATGTGTTGGAGATATAGTTAGAGAGGTATATTTTTTATTGTTTTGACCATTGCTGTTGTTGGAGATTAAACTGTAAGACACAGGTAGACGAGGAAGACTCAGTTGAAAATTCAAAGATGGTTGGCTTGAAACTAATGTAGTTGAGAGGTTATACTTAGACAGATCTGCCACTAAACCCCTTGAGGGAGCAACACAAAGAGGACTATTATTTGAGGACCTAGAAAATGTCAGAAGTCTGGTCTGTTTATATAATGGAACAAACTTGGCACGAAGTACACTATTCACAATGATTCTTCTAACAATCATGAAAAAATTGGAGGATGATTCTTCTAACAATCATGAAAAAATATTTAAAAGTGACTAACTTGGAGGACGGTAATCATTTCAATATCATATGTTGCCCTTTATGCCTTAGACTCGGGCTGTCAAATATATACGGCCCACAGGCCAAAATCCCACTTGGGGTTTCGGTCTGGTCCACTTGATGAACTTTGAAAGTAAAAAAAAATACACAAACACTTACACAGCCTTAGACAGTGTTGTAGACAAACTCAATGATTCATTTATTTACCAAGCATTGGGGAAAAAATAAAAACCAATATGCATGTTGCTACACCCACAGCAGAAACGAAAAATAAAAACCAATATGCATGTTGTTACACCCACAGCAGAAACCAACAGAACATACAGTCACCACAAAAACTCTGTCCGTGCAGGAACCACCAGGTGAAGATGAGTCAGACTAGCTGGTTTCTTTGTCAGATCATCTGCAGGGAAAGTTAGTAAACAACCACCCCAGTCAACCCAGTACATGCTACCTCTGCAGTGACATTATTTCACATCCTGTTTTTAAGAAGACAGTGGGCAGGAAACCCATTAAACCTTTGCCTGTTGAGCCATGAGTTCAATCTTTAGGTTGTGTGACATTAAACTGATCTTTTTAATTGTGTCTGTGTTTACGTGGGTGTTTTTCACCCAGCGTGAGTGAATGTGGTTAAAGAGTAACAACTGTATGGCTGACACTAAAGACTTCACAGAATGGTTATTTCTGTTGTGGACTGAAGTCACTTATGCATGAAGAGCCTGAAGCGAGCTCTCTACGTCTCAATAAACATGACACTTCTTTGTTTTTGAAGAAATGCACTGAGGGCAGTCACACTTCGTTTGTCTTACAGATCAAACTGTTTGGTTTTATATGTGTCATTACTCCTGGGACTGTTCAACAATAGTCAAAATGTGGAGGTTCACTCAAGTACACAAACTGAGTAGTGACCTAAAATGATTGAATACTTTTGCCTTTTGTTTTCCTTCATTTCCCTGCAGTAAGGTTGCATTAGCAAGTGTGTTAACACTATGTAGTCACTGGTCAAACCACGAGACCACCTTGCTCCCACACATTTGTTTTTCATTCTCTACAATAACAAATGATTTAAAACTGTTTCTTAAAAGTTGATCACATTGATGGGTTTGTCTCCTTTGTGTTCTACAGTATTAAAATTATATTTCACTTTGTAACTGGCTCCCTCCCTCAATCAAAAACAAAAACGTTATTAGTGTAACTGTTCACTCAGTGTGAGTCTCGATGTTCGCTTGTCGCAAAGAAGTTCAGGGCCTATATGTTTTGCCAAATCAAATCAAATCAAATCAAATGGATGTATCTGTAAAACATGACAGTGTGTGTTTGAGTGATGGTATGAAATCTGGATTACTGACTCTGTAATGGAGGAACCCTTGTTGTTGTGTCACATGGTTTCACGTGGCCTTTATCCTTTATAGTTGATCTATTAATCCTTCCAATATAACACATTGTCATACACACTGTTATTAAGTTGACAAAGTAGACCATGTCCTCAAATACGTATGTGTTCCAGTTGTCCAGGCATCAAACCTAAAACAAACCAGGTGAACACTTCTCACCAGACAGTAGACTGGACCTGCTCAGAGCTTGGCAACTCCATGTTGAACCACTGCTCCACTGACATCCCTTATTCTATTTTGCCTTTGTACCAAAGACACTTGTCTTCTTTGTTATTTTTGTTGCATAACTGTTATTTTCTGGTCAGGTCTTTTTGATGTTCATACATTTGCCCTCAGCTCTTCAACTGTACCATCAAGTGTTTTCTGTTTCAGGAGCCAAAACAAAAAGCTGTTGACATTATAAAGAACAAAGATAGCCTTCCAAAACATTTTGTTTGACAGAAACAAACAAAGCGAAGCACCAATATCAATCAATCAACAGACAAACAAACCCAGGAACGTGAATGTCAGCAGAAGTCAACGGAAACACGTTTCCCTGACTGTTAATGTAAACAGAGTTGTTTCCTTCATGGCCCAAGGACGAAATATTTGGTTTCCAAAACACACGTGTCAGGTTTAATTAAAAATAAAATAACAATTCTTTCTTTCCTAACGTCTTGCTGACGTCTTGCGTGGACCAGCCCCGTGACGCGTTCGCTTCATTTCTCCCGCAGAGGAGGAGGCGGAGTGGAGAGGAGGGAAGAGGAGAGGAAAAGAGCGCAGTGCATTAACTAGGTAAACAGAGCAGTGTTAGTTCACAACACGGACCGACATCTCAGCTCATTGACGGATCCGGCTTCGTTTTCACTATTCTACGCTTTGAGCGAACGGTTAAACCCGTCGTTTCTACCTTGCGAACCTAACGCTCCCACCTCTACGTCGGTCCGTCGCACCTGCCTCCGGGCATGGACAACAAAGACTGATCCCAGCGAGACGTAAACACAGTGCGGCTGCACCAGGCCCGGACGGAACCGAGCCAAGAAAGAGATAATATTAAAATATTATTATTTAATCCAAGAACCTGTCAAAGTAGGTGTGTGTGTCTGGCTGTCTGCGCCTCCATGTTGGATGCCGAACGGCTCTGTTTAATTATAGCAACACTTGTGTTCGTCCTAACTCCGGGAGCAGACGCTGTTCGTGTCGATCCGTGTTTTCACTGATTCATCGACATCTCTGTCATCACAGTTTGACAACCGCCGCGAGCTGTTCTCTAGGTTCAATGTTATCTTAAACACAGACAAGACGACAGAAATATGTGGGTCAGCCCTGAAGACGTGTTACTGGCTGGTGCCTTATGGATCACCGAGAGAGCGAACCCATATTTCATCCTCCAGAAACGGAAGGGCCACGGGGATGGAGGCGGAGGACTGGCTGGTAAGTGTGTTTGTGTGTGTTTGTGCGTTTTGTTAGCATTCTTTCAATGTTAATGTGCTTTTGTACGGTTAGCAGTTCCCATTATGACCAGAACCTAACTAGACTGTGTCAGAATTCAATTTATGAGGTTATGAGGTTCAGGTTTGGATGAAGATGAGGTTTGTTGTTAGGCCGGGACCAGGTTTTAGAAGGTTAGGTCTCTGATTTAGACGTTAAAATTGGAGTCCTGACAAGAAGACCAGGACTAACCCGTGTGTACAATTGTTCACACACACAGAGTGTCTAATCAGACAGTATTGTGACTTTGAGTCATCCAAGTTTTTGGAGTTATGGTAGGATGAAGTTAGGAAGAAGAACTGGTTAAAGTCTTGGGTCTGGGTTACTGTTGATAATATTTAAGACATTTAACTGTTACATTTTTAATCTGATTAACAGGGTTAGCTGAGGTTCATTAAATTATGATTAATCGTGATTATAATTAATCATGAATCGTGATAAATCAACACTTCTTAATATGTCAAAAAAAAAACCCTGCTGGAACAGAAAGGCATTAACAGCAGTTAGATGATTGTGTTCAACACAGTCTTGTTTTATTTGTGAGTAATCCAAATAATTAATAATATGGAAATCAGTGGAACAACATTTGGTAAAAAAAAAAAAAGAAAAGAAAAGAGAATTGATTGATATTGATATTGATTCCACAGAGGGAAGTTGTTGTGTCAACAGCAGATTTGCTCCAACAGGAGGCGCCAAGTATGAGGTTCGAACCCAGAACCTTCTACGGAACCATTAAATAATTGCATCACCAGGTCTCTATCATAGAACCTTCAGATGGCAAGTGTGGATTCTGCCACTGTAGTGCACTGTTTTTTATACCCCACAAATCATGTGTTTAAATTTAAATTTATTTTTTGCTCCTGAACTATATTGTCTCTGTGGAATTGGTGAAAAGTCTTATATTTTCAGACGGTGTTCCTCATCACTCGTGTCATCGGACATACGACACCATGATTTTGTTGTTCCTTGTCACCTAGTCTTTGTCACTTCCCTTTTGCTTCATGTAACACATTAGCATCAACCAGACGGTAGACATAACAGAGACACGTTGACACACCATGTCCATGTGATCACATGGACATTCAGCTGTCTTTCAAGTGTGTGGACTGGCCTCACCATTGTTTGTTTATGTTATTGTTTTTCTCCATAAATAGGGTTATATTATGGTTCATGCTCCACTCCAACATCAGTTCAGAACCCTAACCCTCTTGGATGAAGGGGTGAAACGTCTTTAAAAAAAAAACCTTACTCCGTCCAGTTGCCCTCGATGGAACTGTTTTTGGATGTGCTAAAATGTCACAACCAAAAGGCTGTTGCTTTTATTGAACAAAGGCACTCTTTTGCTCATCTATTTACAGTCTAAATGGTTCATCCTCAAGTCTTACAAAAAGATCAGACAATAGATCAATTCATACTGGTTTCAATTCACATCAATTTAATTTTTTTTAGTATCTATATTACTTTTGTTTTGAATCATAGTAAAGGGTTCTTTAGTTTTTGAGCTCTGCAAAGTCATTAAGTTTTCTTCATCACTTCATCACTTTAGTTTTTGAGCTCTGCAAAGTCATTTACGTTTTCTTCATCACTTATCTTTTTTTTTTGAGTTTTAACTTTTGAATTTGAGGTTCAGTTTATATCAGTGAGTTATAAAAAACCACCAACATTTTGTTGATGTTATTTCCTCCTCAGTGGTGCAGGAGCAAACATGGTGTGTGTTGAATGTCAATCTGTTGGACTGTTGGCTGGAGACAGTTGGTTTGCTCACTCATGCTGAATCATTCTCTCTCTCTGACTCTATACCTCTCTCTAACTCGTTCTCTCTCTTTATCACCCTGGTTTTTTCGTCCTTCTCCTTTTTTGGGGTCAGACAACAGCAGCAACAGAGAGAAGGAAATAAAGTAGGTTATAAAAACACGCCGTCCGAGGTGAAAGTTCATTAGTCCTTTTCTTCATGTATTTTCTTTGGAGATCATCGCATTCAAGATGTGCATGAAGTAAATGATTTCTTACTTTTCTTTTTATTACTTTACGTCAGTGAAACCTGAGCATTTTTCAATTTATTCTAATTGACTTATATTTGTAGTAAAGAAACACCGCCAGAGGCACAGAGGAGTCGGCCGTGGAACATTAGATCTAACGTCAGTGTCCGATTGGGTAACACAACACTGGCCGTTCTAACTGAGAGAGAATGGTGACAAAAGAAGAACCTAACAGAACCCTGTTATTTTTTTTGTTAGGTTTTTTTTTGTTGTTGGTATTTTTAGAATATTTAAATTATTTTTCACAGCCTGGTGATCTGGTTTTTGTTCAGCTTTTTTTTAGGATTTTTTTTTTTTTACAAGATGCAGCATAATAATTTACATTACAGCAGTGGTTGATTATTGTCCAACTTGATTAAAACGATGCACACAGAAAATAATATTAAAAACTATATGAACGTCAACACACGCGTTATGTTCTTCAGAGTCGGACTGTGATCCTTGAACGCCTTCTTGATGAGCAAAAGTATAGAAAAATTGGGTTCAACTTCAGCACTGGTGCTGACTGGTGATGTCAGTGTTATGTAAATGCTTAGCTTGCTGATTTGTGCTCAGTGTCAGTTGGTGCTCTGTGCTCAGTCATACTGGCATTGTCCTCAAGGAGCTGCTCAGTAAATCAGCACTTCCAGAATCTCTTCAAAACAAATACATTTTTACAACGGAAATATGTTCCAAATAAGTAAATGCTGGTTGGACTGTCGTATAGTTTACACCAGTGATTTTCAACTTGTGGCCCGTGGGCCGAAATCAGCTGTAGGATTCCAAAAGAAACCTCAAATAATAACGTTAGACAAAAATTTGATTTTGTGTAATTTTGCCAAAAAATGTCCAAAAAATTCTGGGCCGATCCATTGAAATTGTAATCAAATCTCAACTACAGAAGTTGTGGAATACAGCCACGTATAAGTGAAAGTGTTGGATTTTTTTTTTTTTTTTTTTTTTGGAAATGTAGAAATATTATATTTGCGTTGACTGTTCTGATCTGCAGGACTGATCAACTACAGCAGTTCAACTAGGTCACCACAGTGTGTCCCTTGTCTAAACAGAGTTCAGGGCATTCCCTCATATTAGAGTTTGGTGTCAGACAGATACTGACTCTGTACTCTGAAGGTTATCGGTTGTCTTGCACTTGATGATCTGCGTTATCGAAGTCCATGCAGGAATGGAAGAAAAGGCAGTAAAAAAAAATAAGCAGATAACAAGCTCAACTTCCATGTGATTTTTATGACTCACGTCTCCTCTAGGCCTCGGTTATCTGATACAGCATCGATCTCCGAGCCCTGGGAGATAGTTCTGGTTTGAGTGACCTGATCAAAGATTGTGCTCCAATAACCCTGCGCCTCAGCTGTTTCTGTTTCATCGTTGTCATGGAAATTATACAATGAAGAAACAAAAACAAGAAGCGTCTTGATCCAAAGTTAGCGTTCGGCGTGAAAATTAAAGACAAAGATTCTTTGAAGGGATCATAGTTGGGCTCTGCATTACTGAGCACAGACGCACAAGGTATCACATGATTTTCGTAGCTCGCAGACATCTCAAATTTAGGAATGTTCCAGCCAAGAAAAAAACACTGTAACATTTGTGTCTTGTTTTTTGTTTGGGTTTTTCTTCTTTCTAGTCTTTCTAGAGGCGTGACTAGTGGATTGGTCTGATAAGAGGAGACATGGGGGGAGACGAGGGGGTGGGTGACACCTAAAGGCATTAAGTGTATTGTGGAGCTCATTAATTACATGAGCCCTGCTTGTTATTTTATACAGTATTTGATAATTATCACCTGTAGTAATAGACTGGTTAGTGTGAAGATCCACTGTGTCTGGTCAGTAAACTGTACTCAGTGTTGACAACCAGTAACCCTGAGCAACAACAACTAACAGTCGACCACAGCAGTAGCCTACAGTCATCTGCTCACATGGATGTTAATAATCTATTATATTAAAACTGTGTTTTTTTTTAAGCAATTTCATTGTAGAAAAACTGTGAGTGCAGTGAGATCAGATTTGAGATTTCATAAGTTTCATAAATGTTTTTTATTCTTTCACGCAGTGTAAATCATTTGCTTGAACACAGTGAGGTCTGCAGCAACATGTGGACATGTTTTCACATGTGTTGACTATTGTCCTGTTCTGTATCAAAGCTCTTCTGTTTTGCTCTTAGGTTTGTTGGTTGGGACCTTGGACGTCGTTCTGGATTCCAGCGCTCGAATGGCACCGTACAGGATTCTGTACCAGACTCCGGACTCTTTGATCTACTCCATCATCGCTCATGGTATGGACTCGTTTTTTTTAGAGTGTTAAATGTTGAAGAAGGCTTTTACCCCTCTCAGCTTCCACCTCCTGCATCCTCACTTCACATGATCCTCCAACATCCCGTCTACATGCCAAACATTACATCATGCCTCGGTGCTTTCAAAGGGCAGGATTACAAAAGGGGAGTGTGGGGGGGGGCAGAATGGTTAGATGTGATTAGAAGTGTTTTTTAATCTAACCCCAAGAGGAAAGTTTTATTATTTTTAATCTAACCCCAAGAGGAAAGTTTCTGAGAGTCTCTGACATTGGTGATCTTTACAGTTTATATGTTTATTTTTTTAAAGTTGTTTTTTGGTCAGTATGTTTTTTTTTTCTCTTCGGCAAAAAAATATCAGATTTATTCTACATTCATCTAATCTATAACTCTGCCTTTAATTATGTCTATACTGAGCGCATTGTCCTGTGGGGCCTGTCCACAAAGTATATAGTATTACATTTTTACTGTACTATCAGGATTGTCTCATGATTGGATTTAAATGTTTCCCATAAAATCAGTTCATAAGTCGAGGGAGGTTTCAGTTCTTAATTATTATGTTCCACTAAAAAAAAAAAAAATAAAGTGAGTATTTGATTGCAGCATGCTGAGAAATGACTGACTTTATGAGAAATTATATAATCATTAATGATGATTACATTTTTATAAAATCGTCTGCAGTCAAGAATATTTCACCTTCTGTGCGACACATGCCCAGATGATGTTGTGAAAAACAGGACTAGCACCAATGTAGTTCATAAAAACAGGTCTCCCGCTCTCACCTCCTGCTTCTTTCTGTCTCTCTGTCCTTCTGTTTTTGCTCCCCTCAGTTCACCCCCACCCCTCCCCCTCCCAGTTCTTAACTCTCTGTCGACGGCAGAGAGGAGCAGTCTGGCTTCTAATGTGCACTCCTTAAAAGGCTGCTTCTCCACAGTATTTAGAGATAATGGCAAACAATGACAACCATTATGGCCGGGTTTATTTTTCCTCAGGCTACGAGAAATCAGTTTCGGGAAATCCATTACTGTTCAGATCTAAACCAGAACACGCAGGTCTGTTTGGTCTTTGTTTTGCACATGTGACCTTCAGTCCTACGGCTCACACTGCTCTGCACTACTGCCACTTGACAACGTATGGCCGAGACTTGTGTCCTGACTTGCCCCCTCCCACCTTCATCTACAGGAAGCTCCCGTAAAGAAATCACGGAGCACTGGGAGTGGCTGGAACACAACCTGCTGCAGACACTCTCCATCTTTGAGAATGAAAATGACATCACCAACTTTGTCAAAGGAAAGGTTCAGGTAACCTAAACGATGATCACTGTTGTGTTGGGGTTTAAGTTTCTATATTTAATATTTTCATTTAGGTTTTAAACTCATATACGTTATATATACATATACGTTTTAATATTTTCATTTAGGTTTTAAACTCAAATATATACACATATATACATATACGTTTTATCTATCCGCTTACCTGGTTTGAGAATTCATGAGAAGTGATGACCACTAGATGGCAGCACTGCAGCTCATTTTATTAATCTATTTTAATAATCCAGGGATTTCTTTTTGCGTTGACTGGTTGCAGGGCATCATTGCAGAATACAACAAGAACCAGATTGTCAAAGAGGACGACGACACGGACAAATTCAAAGAGGCCAGTGCCAAGTTTCGCAAGATCTTTGCGATGCCCGAGGAGGAGAAGCTGGTGAATTATTATTCCTGCAGCTACTGGAAGGGCAAGGTGCCCCGACAGGGTTGGCTGTACCTCAGCATCAACCACCTCTGCTTCTACTCCTACATCCTAGGAAAAGAAGGTCAGACCGAGACACTAGGTCTTTGTCGTAGCAGTGTTTGTTTGTCTTTCCAAACCAGGTCAAAGGCCAAGGGTGAAAGTTCACATCAAGTAAAGTCTTTGTTATTATTTTTTTTCTGTTTTAAGCCAAACTGGTGGTGCGCTGGGCGGACATGACCCAACTAGAGAAAAGCGCCACCCTCCTGCTGCCTGACGTCATCAAGGTCAGCACCCGCACCAATGAGCACGTCTTTTCCGTCTTCCTCAACATCAACGAGACGTTCATGCTGGCAGAGCAGTTGGCCAACATCGCGATGCGTCAACTTCTGGACAATAAAGGCTTCGAACAGGACTGCTCACTTCCCAAACTGAAAAAGAAGTCGCCCAAAAAGGTGTCTGCTCTCAAGAGGTGAGGAAGACCTTGGTGCAGGACGGGGCCGAAAGATGGCTGATAGAATGACATCCAGTGTTGAGGGTTTCTTTGCTGTACTGAAACTGATTGACTGATTGTTATTGTTTTTGCTTCTCTTTGTGAAATGGTTGATGATTCACCAGTGTTTGTGACTCCTTCCTCTTCACACCTCCTCTAAATATGTCTTCTTTCAGGGATCTGGATGCCAGAGCGAAGAGTGAGCGTTACAGGGCTCGGTTCCGTCTGCCTAAAGATGAAAAACTGGACGGACACACGGACTGCACCCTGTGGACCCCCTTTAATAAGATGCACATCCTGGGACAGATGTTTGTTTCCACTAATTACATCTGCTTCACCAGCAAGGAGGAGACGCTGTGCAGCCTCATTATCCCTCTGCGTGAGGTCAGTGGGTTCGTCTGTTCTGTAATACCGACATCAGCATGACATGGTGTTGGACACTGGAACAGTGGAGCTTAACTGCACTTGTTCTTCATGTTCAGTATAGTCTAATATTATTGTCATAGAGATTTCAATTTGCTTTTTGTTATTGTTTATAACTTCATCCTGACAGACATGGATTATTTTCCCTCCAGGTCACCATTGTTGAGAAAGCAGACAGTTCTAATGTGCTGCCCAGTCCCCTGTCCATCAGTACCAAGAATCGCATGACTTTTCTGTTTGCAAACCTGAAGGATCGGGACTTCCTCGTTCAAAGGATCTCCGACTTTCTGCAGCAGACCACCTCCAAGATCTGCCTGGAGAGAGAACTCACGGGCAGCCTCAACAGCTCTGACGACGAGGTGAGAAAACGCACAGATAAAAATGGAGGATATCAATGATTACAGTTTGGTTGGTCTGTTGTTTTTGTTTTTGTCTTCGTATTCTTGTTTATTGTTTGTCCAAAATTGTGTTCGGTGCAGGTTTACTCCATCCACGGGTCCATGCTCTCCAGCAGTCCACAGCACAGTTCGGGTTCAGAGGGCGAGCGAACGTTTAACCTGAATGACAGCAGTGTTCCCACAGCTACACAGACCCTGATGACCATGTACCGCCGGCGTTCACCCGAGGAGTTCAACCCAAAACTGGTGAGTTCATACTTTGTAGAAGAAAGAAATGTGTCTGATTATCGTTAACGTCTTATTTAACGTGTTCCCACATGTTTCCCAGGCGAAAGAGTTCATGAAAGAGCAGGCGTGGAAGAACCACTTCACTGAGTACGGACAGGGTGTGTGTATGTATCGCACTGAGAAGACCAAGGAGCTGGTCCTCCAGGGGATCCCTGAGAGCATGAGGGGGGAGCTGTGGCTGCTTTTCTCCGGTGAGCACAGGACACTGTCAACAGATCTGATTTTACTCCTAACATGTTGAAAAACTGTATTTTTACCTCATCATTCTTTGTTTATGTTACATAACAACATTATGTCTTTGCTGTGACAACAGTGGGGAACCATGGTCTGGTGTTCAGAGGTCAGAACAACACAAAGGTTGTCATAGATGTAAAGGTCAGAGGTCAGAGAGAGACAGATAGAAAGACGGTCAGACAGAGGCCAAAATCTTTAGAGACGACGGAACAAAAACAGTACAGACTAACTTGACCTGATCAATGACCTCATCAATGACCTCATCAATGACCTCATCAATGACCTCATCAATGACCTCATCAATGACCTCATCAATGACCTCATCAATGACCTCATCAATGACCTCATCAATGACCTCATCAATGACCTCATCAATGACCTCATCAATGACCTCATCAATGACCTCATCAATGACCTCATCAATGACCTCATCAATGACCTCCTCTGAGTGAGGGTCTTCCTCGGACCGTGTTTACTCACACTTTTTTTTCTCACACTTTCTTCTAGTTCACGTTTCATGTGTCTTTTCAACAACATGTCTCATCAGCTGATTGTTTGTTTTCCAAATGCATTCTTTCTCACCCACTCACTGCATCAGTCTGTTACAACAGAGTCACATGATGATTCGTGGTCTGTGCCTCATGTGATTCACATTCAGGTATCACCAGACTACACACCAGTACGTGTTGACGTGCACGGTCGTGTTGTGTGCTCCTCACCTGAGGACTCACTCACTGAGGTCCGCCTCTGCAGCCGCACTTCATCGTGGAAGTCACTTTAAACCAGACTGATCTCCGACTCCAACATGTTGACACAGCTGTTTAAAACATTCAGGTTCTGCCTCATTACGTAATTTTAAAAAAACAAATGTGTTATTAGCGGTTTGTTGAGCCTCTGAACTGGGACTTGTTTAAAGTTTAATCATGTTTTGACAGAAGGTCGGTGTTCTGTAAACTGAAGGAGCATGTACACACGTGACCTCTGTGAACTATGGAAAAAAAAAAAGGTGAAAACTGAGTGAACTGTTAATGGCCTCTGGACCTGCACCTGTTGATGGAATAGTAAAGTAATTCATATGAGAGTTAATCAGTGGCTGTTTACTGTCTCTTAATTCATTTTGGGTGAAGAAAAAAAAATTGTAGTTGTGGCTGCAGGTGGTGAACTTTACATGTTTAAAATAAAACAAGATAACCCAGCCACTAGAGGGCGGCACAGGCCCTCATAGTGCCAATTCCAAGACTGGATCCTCCTCCTCCTTCTCCTCCTCCTCCTTCTTCAGTCTGGATTCAATTAGATGCTTTTTCTAAATCATGTTTCCCAATTTGCTGAGTTTAACTTCATGTTTTTTTGGTTGTTTTTTTTTTTCATAGGTGCCGTCAACGAGATGGCCACTCACCCTGGATACTACGAAGACCTGGTGGAGAAGTCCATGGGGAAGTACAACCTAGCCACTGAGGAGATAGAGAGAGACCTGCACCGCTCTCTACCTGAACATCCGGCCTTTCAAAATGAGATGGGAATCGCCGCCCTGCGGAGGGTCCTCACTGCATACGCCTTCAGAAATCCCAATATTGGATACTGCCAGGTACGGACACACACACACACACACACGGGTTCCCATTTGTCTGTTGTTTCTGTGTTCTTCACAGAAACTTGAACCCTCCTCTGTGTTCCTGTGTTCTTGACTCCACAGGCCATGAATATCGTGACGTCGGTTTTACTGCTGTACGCTAAAGAGGAGGAGGCCTTCTGGCTGCTGGTGGCGCTGTGTGAGATGATGCTGCCTGACTACTACAACACCAGAGTAGTAGGTTAGTGTGAGGTGTTAGTACTTTTTTGACTTTAAAAACTGAGAAGAAACAACCCGTTCATCTCTCGCTCACTTCCCCAGGAGCTCTCGTGGATCAGGGCGTGTTTGAGGAACTCGCTCGGGAATACGTTCCACAGCTGTACGACTGCATGCAGGACCTGGGAGTCATCTCCACGATCTCCCTCTCCTGGTTCCTCACCCTGTTCCTCTCCGTCATGCCGTTCGAGAGTGCGGTGGTGGTGGTGGACTGCTTCTTCTACGACGGCATCAAGGTCATCTTCCAGCTGGCGCTTTCCGTGCTGCACGCCAACATCCACCAACTGCTGAGCTGCAAGGACGACGGTGAAGCCATGACTGTACTGGGCAGGTGGGAACACAGTTTGGTTTTTTTTTGTACTTATCCTTTAGTTTTGTTTTTGTTTTTTGTTTTTTTGTACTTATTCTTTCATCTCTAATCATCTGTCCTTCTGGGATAAATAATAAAGACAGTAATCCTGTGACATAAGACAGTGTGTGTCCACATGTAATTGTTCTGTCCTCTGTTGTTCTGCAGGTACTTGGACAGTGTCACCAACAAGGACAGCACTTTACCCCCCATCCCCCACCTCCACTCTTTACTCACTGACAACGGAGAACCACATCCTGAGGTGGACATCTTCAAACTGGTCCGCAGCTCATATGAGGTGATATATTTTTTCATGCATCTATATATTTGTTTAATTTCATTAAATACATTTTGATACATTCTTCAGTTTATATTTTAAACGATATATTTAAAATGTTTAAATTGATGGTTCATTTTTTTATTTTTTTTTTATTTGTGTATTTGTTCACTTCAAGTATGAAAATACCACAAGGTTTCTTGATTTCTACTACACAAATTCTTTGCACAACATCATATAGAAACTGAGGAGGTGAAGGAATGAAACACAAAGAAAGAAATACTTATTTGAAAATGAGAGAGAAGAAGCATGGTTGTTAGCCATCTGTTAGCTGCATACATTTATATATATATTTACACATACATTGGTACACTGTCTGCCTGTCATCATCACCATGCCGTATGACTGACAGTGACGTTGACCTGTTTC